TTCAATTTTCAGGCAAATTATTGAGGCCTTTTTTTAAACTTCCCTTCTTCTTCCATATAAAAAAAATTTGTCAACTTCTGTCAGTTTTTTTGTAGCTTGTATCTCAAACCAGGCTCCACTGATCCATTTCCATTCTCACTGCCACTAACTTTGCTTAGATTTCTTCTTCTATCCTGAAAATGTCTCCTAGCTTCCTTCATTATCTCACTCCTCCAGTTCATCATATGCTCTCAGTCACACCAAGGGAAACACGATACCAAGATCTCATTGCGTCACCCGTATTTAAGATGCATCTGAATATTGGAGGTGTTCAACAAATACTTGTTGAGTAAAAGAACAAATAAACATGTACCAGAATAATCCTAAACCACTCACTGTTCATTCCAAAGACCCATTTAAAAAAAAAAAAATTCTTTCATTAGCTCCCCATCACCTACAAAGCAAAGTCCTTCATTGTCTGCATCCAGGAGTCTCTTGCTTTGACCATGTCCTCTGTCCCTGGGCTCCTGAGCCATGAGGTCCTGCCAGACCAAAGTGCACAGCCTTCCTGGTTTGTGCCCCAGGCTCTTCCAACTTCATCCTTCTGCTCTCCTGCCATTACCTTGACACAAATCCTCCTTTTCCTTCTTAACTCCTCTTATCCCATCTTCCCAAGAGGAATAAATAAACAAGTTAAGAGAGTAATTTGTTGCAAGATAAAATCCTTTATGGCTTTTATTGTTGATGCAAATCAGTGTCCACTCCTAAGATTTGCTGAAAGCATTGTTTGATGTAGTTTCTTTAGGTAGTTAGCTGCATCTTTGAGGGAAAGTAATATTTTTTACAAATAATGTACCTCATCTTTCTAAACTAAAACTAGGCTCAAAAATGTGATACATAATGAGGTGATTTATTCCCTCAGAATATCCCACTGTGCAGGGGTTTTTAATCTTAACGCTATATATTTTTAATGGTTCCCTCGCTGCCTTTCTTTCTACAGTAGCTTCATAATAGATTTTATAAAAAGAAAAGTCATCACCGACATATAAAGCTAAGTATTCAAAGATAAATCTCTTGATACAAGGAGACAGGGAAAAAAAGACAAGCTTTGTGCCTCAATTTTGTTGAATTCAGAGCTTCAATAATAAAGAATTAGCACAAAGCATGAATTATTATTTTATAATGTATTTATTTGAAAGGCACAGGGTGGAGGCAGGGAGAGAGAGAGAGAGATCTTCCTTCCACTGGTTCACTCTTGAAATGCCCAAAACAGCCAGATTTGAGCCAGATCTGAATTCAGTCCACATCTCTCAGCATAAGTGGCAAGGACTCAAGTACTTGAGCTTTCATGTGCTACCTCCCAGGGCGTGCATTAGCAGGAAGCTAGATCCGAACAGAGCAAGACTCAAACCTAGGCACTGTGATATGGGATGTGAGTGTCTTAAACACTGAACCAAACAGTTTCCCTTATAAATGGCTTTTATAAACGATGTCAGTACTAGAAAATATAGAATTGCTCTGTGTAATTAACTCATACATTTTTTTTAATGAAATTAAAACAACTATTTTAGCTCCACTTGGAATTGTTTAGCAGGCTTTGGAAGACAGATTTTATTCTCAATGAGTTTTTCCCATGACTTCCTTTATAAAAACAGGAATTTTAATAATTCCAGAAGTAAGAATAAAACTTAACTTTGAAGGGGTCAATTGTAGTTCAGGATTTGGAAGATAAAATGTTTAAATGAGCCTTGAGCTTAGTATAACACATGTGCTTCTTCTATCCATTTTTGCAATAATACCTTACAGCAAATAAAACCAGCTGTGTAAATGAAAAATTCAAATTAGATATGTTTAGAACAGTCCCTGGTTCTAAAGAATCCAGTCACAAATCTATTTTATTCCTGCTGTTACTGAATGTAAACAAACTGGCATCCAAACCTCAGGAGTTTCTAAAGTCAGAACATCTCTGATTGAAGACAAACGCTAATGTGTCCCCCAAATTCTCCCCTAAAAGAGCTAAGATGCATAAGAAAACAAGTAGGATTATAGATAGATTATAGATGATAGATAAATAGCTATAAATATGCATAGATAAATCATGTCTAAATATATGTCTATAACAACCCATATAAAATTTTATCTAAGAAATATAGTAAAATATCAAGAATAAACATAGCTTGCATTCCATTTCTACCAATATGTGAACATAGAAAGTATTAACAGTTTATTAAAAATTGAGTTGAGATTTCTAGTGATAGTTTACTAACAGAATCATACATTTCATTTATTAATTATAGCTAAATAATCTGAATATACCAAACAAAAATATGGCTAATGTAAGATTAGTCCTGCAGATACAAAATGATGTCATTTTCCTATGAAGCATAAAATGCTTGCGAGATCACTCTGCACTCCTATTGTTGAGCAAGTCTGTGTATAGAGTTCTTATTAAAAGAGGTGATCTGTCATTATGGACGGGGGACACATGGATGGGGCCATTTGTCAAAACAGGCTCCGGTGCAGCAGCAGTCCATTCAGCTCACACAAGTGTATTAAGCCAGCCTCCCTCAGGCCCCAAGAATGAGCTAAAGGAGCTGGCATACCCAGGAGCCTGTCTTGTGCTCCCTCACCCTGCTCTGGAAGCAACCCTGCGGCACCATTTCTACAGCAACAAGGGATTGCCCTGAGCCTACTCTGCTTTGTGATCGATGCTAGCAGCCCAGGATGTCACTTGACAGCCTCAATCATGCCATCAGCGTCTTCCATGTGTCCTAGAGCTCCTTGCCGCATGGAAGCTGCTGTTCCAACTCCTTGCTGCACAAGGCCGTTCTCTGCTGCAGGGCTCTGAGGATCAGCGCTACAAGCCTTGAAATCAGGACTGCCACACAACAGATTCTCTAGCAGTGTTGAGTGTTCCGGGCTGTATGGCCTGAGTGGTGGAGCAGACCTGGAGCAGAGACCTCTCACTCAGAACAGGCAGATTTCCGAGTCATCATTGGAGCAGTCGCTCAAGAATGTTATGCTACCCTCACATCCAGCTGGAAGAGATACAAGACTCAGTATCTCGACCTTTATGCTAAGACTGAGGACCTGGCTTACCCAGACGGTTAGGCTGCTTAATACTTCACAGCAAGTACACAAAGCTGACCTATTTTTGTAAGGTTTACTTCACACTTTTTGGAACCTCTGGGTTTTTTTCTGTGGCACCCAGGGTACTTTCTACTTTCTGTTTATCACTCTGTACAGTGTCATCAATGCAGGAGACGAGCATAATGCTCTCAGAAAATCAAAGTCACCAGAAGCTGAGTTATTCACAGCATTATGAAGGGCAAATGTGACATCCGCTACTCGGTCATGAGTATATTTCGTCTCTCATTATTTCAAAGGCATTTTTCATGCCATTAAGCATTCTTTTTAAAAATAAATGTTAGGAGTGGGTGCTTAGCCTGGTGGTTAAGATGCCCAGATCTCAGATTGGCGTGCCTGAGTTTGATTTCTGCCTCCGGGTCCTGACTCTGGTTTCTGACCCATGCTCACCCAGGGAAGCAGCGATGATTGCTCAAGTGGTTGAGTCCCTGCTACCCATGTGGGCAGACTTGGATTGTGTTCCTGCCACTGGCCCAGCCCTTGGAATTGAAAGAGCAATGGGAGCTCACTGTCTGTGTCAGTCTGTCTGTATCTATCTGTCTCTCTATTAAATAAATAAAAGTTCTAAGGCACAATCATTTTAAAACAATTTATGACATTTTATGGTTATGTGATATTCATAACACTATTTTTGACTACTGGAGATTTAGATTTCTTTACTATCTACTGTTACAAATAATGGTGTAGTGCAATAGGTGAAGCCTCTGTCTGAGATGTGAGCATCCTATATGGGTGCCGGTTTGAGTGGTTTCTGCTTCCAATCCAGCTCTCTGCTGTGGCCTAGGAAAGCAGTAGAAGATGACCCAAGTGGTTGAGCCCCTGGGAAGACTTGGAAGAAGCCCCTGGCTCCGGGCTTTAGATCGGCTCAGCTCTGGCCATTGCGGCCATTTGGGGAGTTAACCTGTGGATAGAAGATCACTCTCTGTCTCATCCCTTCTCTGTAGCTCTGCCTTCCAAATAAATAAATAAATCTTTTAAAAAATGTTGTAATAAACTTTTCACATGTAATTGATTTCATTTCTATTTTCTTAAAGTAAATTCCTGGACATGAAATTACTGAGCTGGCATGTAAAGACATTTAAGTTTTGGATTCCTGCTGACAAACTGTTAAGAAACAGAGTACTGATTTGTGTCCAACCTCATTTTAAAGAGTTCATCCCCCTAAATGAATAGCAGCAATCTTGACCTTTTACCTCTGCAAATTCAAATGTTACAATTTCTCTTGATTCCTGTGGTGATATCTGTTTATTTTATTGTTATATGTAGTAGAATATTTTCATATGCTTATGGGATATACTTACTTCCCATTTTTTCCAGAGCCCTCTGACAAGTAACCAACATAATCTCCACCCATATTATTCCAAGTTTTTGTATATATTAAATCCTTCTCATTTTTAATTTCCCACCACTCTCCACACAGTTTAAGACTCAAACCTGTGGGGCCAGGATTGTGGTGTAGCGGTTAAAACCACTGCCTGCAATACCGGCATCCCACAGGGGCTCAGGTTTGAGTCCCAGCTGTTCTGCTTCTGATCCAGCTCTCTGCCATGGCCTGGGAAAACAGTAGAGGATGGCCTAAGACCTTGGGCCCCCGTACCTGCTTGGGAGACCCAGAAGAAGTTCCTGGCTTCAGATCAATGCAGCTCTGGCTGTTGAAGCCAGTTGAGAGTGAACCAGCGGATGGAAGACCTCTCTCTCTCTCTGTCTCTCTTTCTCTCTCTGTATAACTCTGACTTTCAAATAAATAAATAAATCTTTAAAATAAAAAGACTCTAACTTGTTACCATATTTTCAGCATAAATAATGATTGCTCCTTTCGATTTTATAAAATATTCAAAAGATCTATTTAATAACTACTCTGTAAACTGCTTAATTATATTAACACCATAGATGAGCCCTGCACTAGTAACTTTTCTTCTTCCCTACTCTCACACCACCAGCCAGCAGTCCTTTCTGGCTTGGAGTCTGAAGGAAGCTCACGACATGGCCGTCTGGTATGTCAGAGTTGGGAACAGAAAGAAAATAATATCAACGACTTTTATTTGGGAATCCAGGAGTTAAAGGTACACATAGACCTAACACTTAACTAGCAAAATTTATAACTATCTATATTCTTCTCTTAACTTTCACCAAGCTTTTACTGTATTCCTTTATTTATAGAAATGAAAATTGAATGATGCTATATGTAACAGCAAAGGGTGAATTTTACATAGTGTTGAGTAAAGGAAGCTGGTCATATCAGTATTATATGAATCTTTTTGGGAATAGCTTCCCTACCACATTATTGATTAGTTGTGTCTGGTATTGAATATAGATTAGTCATATCTGGTAGGGAATAGCTCTGGGTAGAAGGATTTTGGCTGGAAGGGACATAAAGAGGCCATCCAGGATGCTGGAGACAGTCTGTCATTTGCGCTGGGGGAAGATATTATTTACAGCATTCACAGGTATTGAATTTTACCAAGTGAGACTTGTGTACCTTACCATATATATTACATACCTCAATAAAATTTAAATAAAAGGGAGCAGTGTGTTCTTGTACAAGGCTTCTGTGAAGTGAGTAGTAAAGAACTTTTTTTCTGTTTTTCAACTTGGACGTTTTGTGTGATGATGACATTTATATGATTACATAATCTCTTTTTTATAACTTTCTTTTAGGGGTTGCTATATCCTAGGTGAAGTTCAAGAAAAAAGGTAATTTCTAATTAGACTCTCTAGGAGTCACAGGCATAAAAGATTACATACTAAAAATTGTATAGATGTTTTTAATACCAATTAAACCAAATATATTACAGCAAATCTCCACTTCTTACATTAGTTTAACATCAGTAATTCCTAATATGATATGTAAGAGAACTGTACTTTAATTCTAATTGTGGTAGATACTAATACAATTAGCAAGATCTATAAGCTCACCAAATAATTTATGAAGTAAGCTCCCTCAAGAGAATAAGAAAGACTGAAGAAGTCTTCATATCTCTGTAATTATAAATACCTAATTTATGGTGTTCGAGAACTCTGTCTTTTAAAAAAGATCATTCTCATCTACTAAATTTGTATTTTCCTCCTACTCTCTAAAAAATGATAGTCTTTGTGTACACCTTATTTCTTTGTAAAGCAAAAAAATGTTGTACATTAATGCTTTAATTATGAAAGGAATTCTAGCCAGTATCAGTACAGGTGGCATGCCAGAAAGGCAACTTGCCTAAAATATAAAAAAAATATATTTTAAACGACTAATTTAGAAAATGATTTTTTTTTCATTTGAAGGTGATGCTTATAGATGAGAGAGGTATATTCTTGGTGTCTACTGGTACATAAGAGACTATTAGAAGCCTGTACAGAAGTGCTGCCAAGGAAACACAAAGACAAAGCTTAAAGACTTCAAGACAAAGCTTTCATCTCCCCATGAAATACTAGCTGAAGGCAGAAGGACTGGATAGTGGGAGAGGTGAGAACTACATCTGTATTTGCATGTCATCCCTCATATTTCCATGCATATATTTATTTTTAACCATTGTCATTTGCTGTTCTGTGTGTGTGTGTGTGTGTGTATATACATGTGGATGTTTGTCTGTATGAGGGTACATCAAAATGTTTGTGGGAAATGAAATTAAAAGATGTTTATTTTCATGCAAAACATTGAAATTCATGTGTATGAGAATTCTTTAAAAGATTCATGGAAATGTGTATTATGAAAAAACTATGCAGGGGTTTCAAAATAATTTTGCAACAAAATAAACTTACCCTTTAATTCCATTTTCATGAACATTTTTAAGTAGTCTTCTATTCATAGTGTTCATTGTTAACTGTACCATTTCTTTCACAGGTTACAGAACAGAAAGACAGAATAATGACAGAACAAAAGAAACAATGGACATAATTTTGATCTTCTGACTCACGATGGCTGCAGTAACTACCAAGGATATGGATGGCTCACTTTTGGGGAAGTAGTGACCACATTTTCTGCTGTAGGAGAGTTAATTGTATTATTTATTGCACTATTATTACATTGTTTCTGCCTGTCTGTCTTTAAGAGCTGTAGTGGCAATTTGTCTTTAGGGCCATCTAATATCTATGGGAAATCATATTGGCAGAATTCCTTATCTTACAGGTCTCAACTTGGCTTCAACCACAAAAGTGGAAAATGCAAGAAGTTGCTTGCAGCTAAAGTTGTGCACATAACGCAGGCCTTATCAGTCATGTATGGAATTGAAAGTTAGTGATGCAAAAAAGAAAATCCATTCTGATGATGGGTTGTGTGAGTGGCAATTGCAGTATGCACAGTTTCCCATCCTGCGGGATCATTTTGGGTGCTATTTTTGGCAGAGCATCTCCAATTTTCTGATTCTCATGCCCCCTGGGTGAGACTGAGTTATTCAATATCCTTTGTATAAATTTATTTTCTGCCAGTTTCAACTAGAGTAACTTCGACTACTTTCAAATAAAAACATTCACTCATAAAATATGGGATGGTGATTATAAACAATAAGTGAAGTAAAGAATTTCCTAAAAAGTTAGAGCAACCTAATGCTAAGAGTGGGAAAAGGAAATTTTCACAGTGAAAAGACTAAATTTGCTCATACAAAAATTTTGGCAGTGATTATTTATAGTTTCTGGGGTTATAAGTAGTTCTACTCTTCTTTCTTTTCTCTATTCCTTCCTCTCTCCCTTATTCTCAACTTTCTCATTTTATTACTTATTTTTATTATTTTTAAAGTTTTTATTTATTTATTTAATTTATTTGAGAGGCAGAGTTACAGACAGGATGAGACAGAGAGAGAGGTCTTCCATCTGCTAGTTCACTCCCCAGATAGCAACAATGACAGGAGCTGGGCTGATCCAAAGCCAGGAACCAGCAGCTTCTTCAGGGTCTCCCATTTTCTATTGCTTCCCCAGGCCATAGCAGAGAGCTGGATCAGAAGAAGGGCACCTGGGACACAAACCAGCACCCAAATGGGATGCCCGCACTGCAGGCAGAGGCTTAGCCCACTACCCAACAGCGCCAGCCCCTTATTCCTGCTTTTAAAAATACCTTTATAACATTCTTTTAGCACAAATGAAACAGCTAAAACATTTTAATGACTGTAGAAACATGAGGCAGAAGTAGAATTTAATGTTTGTGCAAATGACAGAAATAGATGGGAAATGAGGAAGTAAGTTCAAGAGAGATTACTAACTCAAAGTCACACAAGTTAAGCTGCAGATAGGACCAGGGCTCAGATCTTCATTCATTCAACAAAGAGGTCTGTGTCGGCAGCTTGTAGGCACAGTCAAGAGAGTAATGAATGAGCTGGATAAGGTGACTCCTCTACTGAAGCTTAAATAACCAAGTAAACCAACAAATAATATAATTTTAACAAACGATAAAAGCCAAGGACAAAATAAGAGCTATATAGTACAAAATGGTTGGTGTGCAGACATGGAGAACAGGAGAGGTTCTTAGCAGAATTAACATTTCAGCTGAAAGCTGAATGGTAAGGGACAAGAAACAGGAGTGTCTGGTGAAGAGAATTTCAGGAAAAAAGAACCATGTGAGGCCAGAAGCAGGCATGAGTTTGTAAAGGCAAAGGGAAGAGGGGAACTGTGGACATGGAAATATGATTAGAGATATAGAAAGGGACATAATGTGCAATGGTTTAAAAAAAAGTTAAAAGCATAAGTTGTGGCCCTTGGAACAATTTTATTTGCAAAATAGCATAAGCTAATGAAGAACCTTAAAAATCAAACCAAGATGGAGTGACCTAAGCCAATACCATTAAAAACAAGAAGTCACCTTTGCCCCAAATAAAAATTAAAGTTTAAAATTACAGCCCTAAACTTTTTCCCCCAAAGCTAAAATTAGGTGCAGCTATAAAATAAGGGACCCTGTGCTTAGCTAGCTGCGACACTTGTGCCTGGCTGTGCTAAGACCTAACCCAGTTTGTATGCCTCCTAATACTCAAATAACGGTGTGGGAAGCGGGATGCCGCTCTCCCACAAGGGGAACAAAGGGAGCGAGAAGTTGTCCCCCCCTCAGGGTGAACAAGATGGCGCTGGCAGGGAAAGGAACTACTAAAGAAGTAAACAACAAAATGGCAACGAGGTGCATGCCTCCCGTGTGATCTCATAGCTGATTGGATAGAAGACGCATGCCCTTCACATGATCAGCTCGTGGATTGGACTGCTGTATGCATGGACTCTATAGTGCTTTTGATTGGTCACTGTGGGTATATAAACCGTGTGGCTTGTACTGGGGGCGCTCTCCAGACTCCCGAGTTCAGGAGGCCCATTTGCGCAGACGCCGAATAAATCCTCTTGCTCTTGCATCAGCTGGTCTAGAGTCTGAGTCTCTGGGGTGTGCCTCTCGACGTGTTAGCATCCTCACTCCGAGGGTTTAACACTAAGACAAAATGAAGTTGAAGAACAGTCTTCTAAACTGCACCAAGGGGACCTGTTAAAACACAGGTCACAGGGCCCCACCTCCAGTTCCTGATTCACAGTTTCAGAATTTGTGTATCTAGCTATTGCCCAGGTGTTACTGCTGCTGCTGGTCCAGGGACCACACTTTGAGAAACACCACCGTGCTGGCACAAAACTTTTGGTGACAGACTTTAGTGTCTTAGATAAGGGAAAGCTATGGAAATGAAGAGAAGTGAGATATAATTTGTAGGTAACCCAAGTGATTTGAGTTGGAGATAATCAAAAGAAAGGAGCAGATAACTCCTAAGAGTTGGTTTGAATGGCAAGGGGCAATGGCAGTGCCTGTTATAAATATCGAGAAGACCTAGGGATTGGTGTATTGGTTAGGGGATTAAATTAAGAATTTGTGGTGTTGTGATTTATTACATTTTCTTTTTTTTTTTCTTTTTTTTTTCAGGTAGAGTTATAGACAGAGAGAGAGAGAGACAGAGAGAAAGGTCTTCCTTCCATTGGTTCACTTCCCAAATGGCTGCCACGGCCAGCGCTGCGCCGATCCAAAGCCAGGAGCCAGGTGCTTCCTCCTAGTCTCCCATGCAGGTGCAGGGGCCCAAACACTTGGGCCATCCTCCACTGTGCTCCCGGGTCACAGCAGAGAGCTGGACTGGAAGACGAGCAACCGGGACTAGAACCTGGCACCCATATGGGATGCCGGCGCTGCAAGCAGAGGATTAACCAAGTGAGCCACAGCACTGGCCCCTATTTCATTTTCTTAAAGTTATGCAAGTAGGGTAGCAAGTAGAGAGTGCAAATGCAATTCAGTTGAGAGTTGGAGTTGAACACACAAATCTTTATGTAACTCATCAGCAGGTAGAGGAGACTAAATGTGATTATAGAAAAATAAAAGCAGGGTAGAACAAATGGGCTCCAAAGCTTTTCATGTAAGGGATTCTACACATAACAGGGAACTGTATCTGGGACCCAAGGGATCAGCCACAAGAGGAACCAAGTTGCCTGAGATAGGACCTGGGACGGTCCCTGAATTGCAACAGGAGCCAACAACATGCAACAATGCAAACCCATCATACCTTCCTGAGAGACATGCTTATTCCTCCTGTCCTGTCTGAAAACTCACTGAATACAGTAGAATAGCTAACTCACCAATATCTTTGTGAAAGAAATGGCAAGCCACTAGAAGAAATGAGTTGATTAAAGAGGTGGAAGAGAGAATAGATTACTACAGACAAAAGAAGATGCCTAATGCATGGAAAGCCTGGATATGGCCTTGTCTAAATAAGATAGGAGTTGGTGAACTCAAGAGGCTTCCATAGCCTTGGCAGCTCATGACAAGAGCCTCGGGTGATTACTGCCGTCATAAATAAGAGTGTCAATTGTTCAATCAACAACGGGAGTCACTGTGCACCTACTCCCCAAGTAGAACCTCTGTCCTTCCTGTGTTATACTATACGAATTAACGGTAAAACTACTACTCAAACAGTATTCTATACTTTGTGTTTCTGTGTGGGTGCAAACTGTTGAAATCTTTACTTAGTATATACTAAGTTGATCTTCTGTATATAAAGATAATTGAAAATGAATCTTGATGAAGAATGGGATGGGAGAGGGAGTGGGAGATGGGATGGTTGCAGGTGGGAGGGAGATTGGGGAGGAAAGCCGCTATAATCCAAAAGTTGTACTTTGGAAATTTCTATTTATTAAATAAAAGTTGAAAAAATACAAATGAAAAAAATATATATGAGATTAATACATATGTAAATAATATTTTGAAAAAACAGAAGATGCCTAACGAAATTTGTACACATCAGAGATTTTTGAAACTGGTAGAATAACTTGTTTCACTACACAATAAAATAAGAACATGCTTAATAATATAGAGGAAAACAAGATTCCTTTATAATGTGTGTTACAGGAATAACTAGAGTGGAAAGGCTTGGCCTAAAGGTTTTTTTTTCCTTTCTTTTTACTTCTTCTACCCCAAAGAATAAATTATTTTTAAAAGGCCCTATCATGCCTTATTTCTGAACCCATCCATGATTTTTTATTTCATTAGTTAATCTGAGTGCAGAAATTAAGCATCTAATCAAGGTGGCAAGAATTATGCACTTTAATTTAAATCATCCCAATACTCAATTTGGTATTCAAGATAAACCAAATGGCCTGGGATTCAGATGTTTTAATAAGTTCCATGTTTTTACACTGTAAGCCATCTGCTTATGCAGCAGACAAATTAAAAATACAGGAATATGTGTACATCAAATATTCATGGAAACCAAATAGAAATACATTCCTTAGAAAGCACATTTATATTCCAAGACATGCTGCAACACACAAATCTACTGCATTTTGTTGTTAGATATGTGTCCATTAAGGGACATCACATGCTATTTATTTTGTTTTGGATGTCATCTATATTTGCTGATGGTTTTGATTGATCTATTCAAAATACTGTCTATCCTCCTGCAGGAAGCCACTAGGAGCAAAGGGGGCATTTACAGTTAAACATAATTTTTATTTGTGAGTTCTCTTAGTCTTTTTTATTCTCCTCCGTTAGAGCTCCTGGTGTGTGACAGATTCAGAGGTTCAGTCTCAGTAAGCGTGCAAGAGTTTAGGTGTTTATTTAAAGCTCTTGCATCTGCAAAATTCCAGCCAGACGCTCTTGAGAGCAGCCTTCCTTGGTAGCTTGCCAGCACCTCTGGCTTGCTTTTGTATTGGCAACCTTAGGCAAATTGTCTCTCTTTCGGCATTTCCTCACTTCTGCTTTGAGCTCTGGCAGCAAACGAGACAGGCAGGTACAGAGTAAATATTCATGTTTTGATAGAGGAATGGACTGCACTTTCATCATCAGCTTTACGTGAGATCAAGGGGTGTCCATAGACAGAGATGGCTGTGGCTATTTCCAAAAAGAGAAATTGAATTGTTAGAAATTTGAGGGATACAAATGCTTTGAAGTTGTTAGTTTTAGTATTCATAAATAACCCTCATTCTTTAGATGAAAAATAATTCCTAGCTTGGATACATAACATTACATGAAACTAATTTGGGGAGCATTCATTCATCCAGTGGATTTTTTTTTTTTTTGACAGGCAGAGTGGACAGTGAGAGAGAGAGACAGAGAGAAAGGTCTTCCTTTTGCCGTTGGTTCACCCTCCAATGGCCGCCGCGGCCGGCGCGCTGATCCGATGGCAGGAGCCAGGAGCCAGGTGCTTTTCCTGGTCTCCCATGGGGTGCAGGGCCCAAGCACCTGGGCCATCCTCCACTGCACTCCCTGGCCACAGCAGAGAGCTGGCCTGGAAGAGGGGCAACCAGGACAGAATCCGGCGCCCCAACCGGGACTAGAACCCGGTGTGCCGGCGCCGCAAGGCGGAGGATTAGCCTATTGAGCCACGGCGCTGGCCCATCCAGTGGATCTTAATTGCCTGATAGATGCTGGGCGCTACACTAAGCATTGGGAATGCATTCAAGGAGATCTTGCACAAATAATTAACTCAAGAAGAGTTTCTTGCAGGGACTTTTCTTCTTTCTATTGAGTCAGATATCTCTTTTCATATGTGCTCCTGTGGCACTAGATTCATTATTTGACAAATATTTATTGAACATTATACTAGTCTGCTAAATAAACAACTACAAGGCTTCAGTGAAACAAATAGTAGTTATTCACACATCTACTGGTTAGGTAGGTATTATCTGATCCAAGTTGGCTTTGCTGAACTTGATCTTCAACTGCAAAATGTGTCCAGGTCTGCTCCATTTGTATTGCATCTTCCTTAGATCATCGAATACCTGTGGATCTTACCATGACATCAGCAATTGCACAAGCCAGCATTGTGGCATAGCGGGTAAAGCCATAGCCTGCGATGCCCGTATCACAGATGGGTACCACTTCCTGTCCTGCTCCACTTACAATCCAGCTCCCTGCTAATGGTCTGGAAAAGCAGTGGAGGATGGCCCAGATGTTTGAGCCCTTACTACTCACATGGGAAACTGGTTCCGGGCTCCAAGCTTCATCCTGGCCTAGCCCTGGCCATTGTGGCCATTTGGAGAATGAATCAGCAGATGGAAGATCTCTTTCTCTATTTCTCCCTTTCTCTCTGTAAATTCTTTCAAGTTAACAAATAAATCTTTAAAAGAAAAGCAAGCAGATGCATGTGATGCTGTTCCTGCCAAAGCAGATGCATTGCCCGGGCTGCCCACAGTCTATTAGCCAAGCAATTCACTTGGCCACATTTGCCATCAATAACATGGCACGTCCCCTTCTTCCTCAGAATCTGGTTGGAGTAGAAGCGAGTATGTCTTGCAGTATCATCAGCTCTATACGAGCACCTACCATGTGCCAACCATTCGTAAGCTGGAAAAGAGGCAATGCCTTCGGTCTTTCTTCCCAATAAATAAGGAGGCACAAAGGCACTGCAGGTAAAGGTTGAGTGTCTGAGCTCTGGAGTCAGGCAATCAATGAATCTTGGCTTTTCCATGTATTAAACCTATGATCATGAACAAATTTTGATCCTTTCTGAGCCCCAATTTTTCACATCTGTAGATTGAATGTGACAATAAAGTACTTACTCCATAGGGTTTTCATGGGGGTTAAACAGATAGATAGTACATGTAAAGTGCTTAATTCAGAACTGGTACAATATGAGCCTTAGAAGTCTGTTGAGAAAAAAAAAAACACTGAAATCCATTTTCCCTCATGTTGTCTACAGCACTGCTGTTCCAACTAGCTGTGGTGAGGATCCGTTTTTTTCTTGTGTGTGTGTGTCATTGTTGCTTTCATTTCCAATATGCTACAGACCAGTATTTTTTTAATCTCTGTTCTGTTCAGTGAGAAACTCCAGTGATGCTATTCTTGAATGTCACATAGCTATCAAAGCTCCTAACCACTTACTGGTTATTTCTTTACGTATCTCTTGGTGAGCTGGTGGCAATCTGTTTGTAGACCAGCACCTGTTCACAAACACACTTTAACTAGCATTGCCACATGTCTTTGTGTGTTTCCTCATTATACACTCTGATGGGAAATCCTTACTAAAGAAAGTATGTAGAAAAGTCCCATGACCTTCTTACAGCCTTACAGATGCTTACAGCCAAGGGGGGATCATTTTTCATATTGTCAATGACATTCCCTTAGGCTATTTGTCCCTTTTTTTCTTTCTCTCTCTCTCTAGCCTAGGTTTCCTGCAGGAACACAGCAGAAACTGCTACAGGTATAAGAGTATGAGAGTTTCACATTGTGTCAATTCAAAGAAGTATCCAGCATGCTGTTCAGGGGGTCTCCAATGGTGCTTCAATCCTGACATATCTCCAGGATGGGACCACCATGCACCAGAAAATGATCTTGGCTAGTGATGTATTGACCACCTTTGGAGGCTTCTAGAACTGACCATAGAATGCAGCGTGAACTCAGACAAGAACTACTCTGCGAACATCAGCTATTTACAGGTGTCAAGTAGCTCACCGTAGGTTAGCATCAGCTCCTCCTGATTAGCCTAGTGATGGGCTGTGATTCAGGGCTTTCAAGGAATGGGAATCAAGGGCCTGGAACAGGTATCCAAGATCTGAGAGAAGGAGAATGTTCTGAAGGATGTTCTGAATGTTCAGTATCCATTCAGAGACTGACGCTTCTGGTGCCACGACCTGGGCTCCCATTCTCTTCCAACCATCTTATCTCCCTTGAGAGGGAACACTACAAATTTTCCAATGCTTCTTCAGCCAACATGCCTTAAAGAAACAAACAAACAAAAAATTAAAACATGGAACTTCTGCTAAAGAATTCTTCACACAGAACTCACATGGCTCCAAGTCAGAGTTCAAATCCCCTAACCCTTGGCTACCTTTCCCATGATGTTGCATTCTGCTGATATTCACACACTCTGACAGGCAAGGGGACTGAATGGCTAGGGGTTCTTGTATAAGCTTCATATTCCCAACCCCTTGTGTGTTTGCCTGAAGGGTTCCTGCCTTCCATCTCTCCTTGACTCATAAACCTTATGAAATCACGTTGACATCCTAGGTCATAATACCTTACATGCGGCTGGTGTTCTTTGAATGTCCATAGGATGAAGATGTTTAAACAAAAGCTCTCTTTTCTCTTTAGGATCAGACAGTGTCATTTTGTTGTGTATTTCAGCCAATAAAGACTTAGGTTTCTAAGCTCTATGTAATTTTTATATAATAAGGATTTTTGATGCAGGTGTGGAAATTATAGTTCAAAGCAATGCTTTAAAGAATGAATAAATGATAAAGTTTGACCTGGTATGGAAGTGGGGGTGGGGCATTCAGTGTTGTATTTTCTATTATACTTGGGAGGGGTTTCCTAATGGGGTATGATTTCTCCTTTTTTGTTCCTGAATCAAATTAAAGATATTGGCCTTTCACCGAACCATCTGATTCTGAAGGAAATTGCTTTTTTGAAAATATTCATAGCAAATTTCTAGCTCATTCTGCAAATGGATAGTTGCCAAGTCTATTAAACAAAAGTCTAAACAGGGGCCGGCGCTGTGGTGCAGCGGGTTAACACCTTGGCCTGAAGCGCCGACATCCCATATGGGTGCCGGTTTGAGACCTGGCTGCTCCACTTCCGATCCAGCTCTCTGCTATGGCCTGGGAAAGCAGTAGAAGATGGTCCAAGTCCTTGGGCCCCTGCACCTGCTTGGGACACCTGGAGGAAGCTCCTGGCTCCTGGCTTCGGATCGGCGCAGCTCTGGCCATTGCGGCCGATTGGGGAGTGAACCATTGGATGGTAGACCTTTCTCTCTCTTCTTCTCCTCTCTTTTTGTAACTTTGACTTTCAAATAAATAAATAAATCTTTTTTTAAAAAAAGAAAAAAAAGTCTAAACAGAAAGATCTATTTTCTAGAATAACAGAAGTAGCACAATGCTTAGAGAGCTATTTCTCTCTAAGTATTCCAACTTCCACCAATTACAGACAATGAACTACAGATGCCATGATCCCTCTCTCCAGGTCTAACGTGAGATGGTGGCCGAGGCAGGACTGGAACTTCAGTCTATAGCCTCCCTTCCTGTGTGCTCACCACTAGACTTCCCCTCTATTGGTGGAGCTACTCCACACTTGCCTTTCTTATATGTTAAAGACTTTGGAGGAGGGGGTAGGGAATGCAGGGAAGATTTGGCTTGGAGCTAGAAGTCCTGGGTGAAGGTTCAGCTCTGACACCTTTCAACACTAATTGTTGGCAAAGTCACTTAAGTTTACTAAATCTACTTCCTCAATTACAATGTGGGGTGAGCCCTTCCTACATCAGAGGGTTGCTGTTTTTTAGGAGTTGACATGAGAACCAAGTAAAAGTCTTTCTGCTCCTCCCATTTTCTACTTACATTTTGACTCATCAGTTACTGACAGCACCAAGTGATACTCTCTCCTTTTTCTTGCTTTTCTCCAGGAGTAACATGTTGTGAGTTTGTCCCAACACTGGTGATGTTAATTTGTGTCCATTTGTCACACTGGCATCTATCAGATTTCTCTACTATAAGTTATGGCTTATCCTTTTCAAATTAATAGTAATTTTGGGGGGGGGATTCTTTGAGGTTTATGTTTAAATCTCTGTTCCTCATCAAACATGTACCCACAACTTTTAGCATCCATTGATGATGCTTACCTGAATCAATTATTATGGGTGGAGTTCCATTATCCAAAACACTTGGGACCAAAGGTGTTTCATATTTTTTCAGATAAAATTCATGTATATTTCATATACTCCTTATACACATACACTGAAGGTCAATTTATGCTATATTTTTGGTGTGCCTGCACTTTGACTGCAATCCATTAAATGAGGTCAGGATTGCAATTTCCCACTTGTGGGATCAGGTTGGAACTCCAAAAGTTTCAGATTTTATAGCACTTTGGATTTAAAACTTTTGAAATAGGAATACTCAACCTGAGCTGTGTTGGTGGTAAAATGGTGAAATTTTAACCCTATCATTCCTTGCACACTCATTAGTTGCCTAAATTGGATTCTAATGATAAAACAGTGAATAAGACAGATTTTGCCTTGAAGAATTTCATGGTTTATTTTTATATTTTGGGTTTTTAAAATTTGAGTGGCAGATAGACAGAGAGAGATCACGGTGAGCTCCCATTCTCTAATTCATTTCTCCAAGCACCCGCAACAGCTGTTGAGCTGGGGTTAGGCCAAGGGCAAAACCAGGAGCTGGGAACTCCATCTAGATCCTCCATATGGGTGCCAGGAGCCTAACTATTTGAGCCATCACTGCTGCCTCTCAGAGTATGCGTTAGCAGGAAGCTGGAGTTAGTAGCCAGAGACGGTAATCAAATCCAGGAACTCTTATGTGGGAGACGAGTGTCCTAAATACGAGGCTAAACACATGCTCCTTCTATAGTTTATTCCTTCAAAGAATATTTATTATTAATTCTCAGCTATGTCCCAGGAACTATGGACAGAAGGACCTCACGGCCCCTCTCTTCACGGAGCTCACTGTCTAATGTCAAAGATAAGCAACACAGGAGGGAATCAATAAAAAAAAGAAAAAAACCTGTGCGACATCTGCCCAGAGTGCTAAGGGACCATATGCCTGGGGTGTCAGGGAAGGCTGTTTAATGACCATAAACACTGTTTAATCTGAGCTTGCAGATGGAGCAGGCATCTGACAGGGAAGGGCTTGGGGGATGGAAAGCACATTCCAAGCAAAGGGACTCCCAGAGGCAGGGGCGGAGAACTGCAGTTTTTAGGGAGGCCATCAGCATTGTCCCCTTTTTAATCAGTGTGCTCTGTCACATAGGGCTTCCTTCCAGCACCCCTCCTGCCGCACGCCCACCTCCACTGGGACCTCAGACAGAACTGTAGGCCACTGTGCACGAGTTGGTAGAGCCATGGGAAGAATGCCACCAGTCAGGCTGCCCTTTATGGGGGAAACATTGCTTGGCATTCGGCCTCTCAACCCAGATGGGCTCTGCCATAGAAATGTGCTTGTGTCTTGAAAGGAGAAAAGAGAAAGATCTCTGAGAGGTATAGGTTTAGGCCTCAACATCCTGTGAATTTTACTGTGGAAACTCAGGCTTGGAGCTAACACACTAGACTGAGGATGTACAACCCAAACCCCACATGCGGCTCCCTGATATGGTTATGTTTCAGTCCTTTCTTAGCAGTTCCCACCATTTCATTTCTTTCATTTCATTTCATTTTAATTTTATTTGACACAGGATATATTTTTGGTGATTCTTCATTAATACAGCATAACATACCAATCATTAAGATAAGATATGGCTCTTCAAAAAGTTCATGGAAATGCATACTGTGAAATGGTGGATTTCAAAATTTCTCCACCAAAATAATTTTGTCTTTTAATTTCACTTTCCCTGAACTTTGTCAAGTATCCTCACATAGTATGGCCTAATATAGAATATCATTTGTATCTATAGTATAAAATAATACATTTTTATTTTAATGTAGCATGCATTGAAGTGGCTTCTCATTCAATTTTACATGACGTAGAAAGAAATCTGGGGGCTGGCATTGTGACACAGCAGATTAAGCTGCCACTTGCAACACCAGCATTCCACATCAGAGTGCCAGTTTGAGTGCTGGCTACTCCACTTTTGATCCAGCTTCCTGCTAATGCACTTGGGAAGGCAGCAGAAGATGGTCCAAGTGCTTGGATCCTTGCCACCCATGGGGGAGAGCCAAATAGAGTCCGATGCTCCTGGTTTTGTCCAGGCCTAGATTTGGCTGTTGTGGCCATTAGGGAGTAAACCAAATGATGGAAGAACTTTTTGTCTCTGTCTCTCTGTCTCTCTCTCGCCTCCTTTCTGCCCCCTCACTATGTGTGTGTATGTGTGTGTGTGTCTCCTCTGTTATTATATCTTTCAAATAAATAAATAAATATTTTAAAAAGAAATAAAGCTAGCATGTTATTTGAATTATTTGTTATTTTCCAAAAAAGAATCTTAAAAGCTAGAACTTACACTTAGGTTTAGAGAATGATTTTTAAAGGCTGATGAACATAAAAATGAAAGAATAAGCTTATTGTTGGGATTTTCCTAAAAGCAAATAATCCCTTCAAATTATTCCTGGTTCAAATTACACCTGGTTCTGTGTGGGTCAAGGGCAAAATTAAACAGAATTGTATTAGTTATGTGCTTCCAGTGCTCACTTGGGACAATAAATAGATGAGAAGGCAGAGGGAAATAACTCGACATCAACACTACTTTACATATTCCCAAACTTGGATAACTGGGTTAACTGGGTATTTCTGAAAATTGCAATTGTATGGTATTACTATAGGACATGAGTTTTTCAATAAACTGCTGAAACTCATACATCTCAATGAGGCATACCCTCTGAGGAGTTATTGTGGGAGATGAGACACTCATTTCCACAGAGGTGTGATTTCTTAAAATATTCTGGAGCTGGGCTTTCAGAATGGTTCCCAAAATACATTTTGAAAAACTGCATAGGAATGATCAATGTATCATTTCCTCTATAATTATAACTCATTCTAAAAGAAAATAAAATTTGGCAATTCATTGTATCCTCCTGTTGTATACAGTTTCTAAATGTGAGGATGCTCCATCCAGAGTGACATGGATTGCACTTCAGGTCCATAGGGCCCCCAGATTCAAGTTCACACAATCAAGAGGGCACTCTCAGGGCCCAGGCAAAGGCTGGGAAAAGTCACCATACAGCTAAGCTTTAATCCCTTAGGTGAAAAGAATTAGGGTTGGGCTGCTGAAGAAACAGAATCCATGGGAAAATTCCATCTACTATTTATTTATTTATTTATGGGAACAAGCCTGTGAGCCAAGACCCAATGCAGGTCTCCCTGGAAGCCAACCACTGTTTAGAACCACACCCGAATTTCCTAAAACTATCACGAATGGGCCCACAGGAGGTGTAGCAAAGCAGGACTCTGACATCCAGAAGTCCCTTAGCATTTTGCCTCCAGCTGTGGTAGCCTCATTTATCCCTGATAAAAACACTTTCCTGTTTGGAAGTACAGCACTACATTGTACTGCGCCTTCTACAATCATACCTGGTG